GTGTTTTTTTTTTTATAAAAACGTTGAAGAAAATTTTTGTTTTCTTTTTTGAATGCTCTCGATTGTACAATTGATGGGTATGTGTGTGTGAGGGGTGAGGGGATGGCTTCATATATCTATCTATAAGCTATATAGACTAAAGCTAGATGAGGGTGTTAAGTGGATTTAACTTAGCCTAGTTGTAGTACTCGAATCATGTTTATCATACCATTGGCCTTACAAATTTGCAGCTACATTAAAGTTAAGTTTAGAGACTATGAGACAGCAGCGAGGGAGGGGGCGTGGGAATGCCTAAGATGTTGAGCTGGGAGTGCGTGGATGGGGGATGGGAGGTGGGAGGGGGGCTGGTTGAAGTCTTAGCTAGTTTAGCTAATGTGAATCACATTCACGATAAACTCCGACTACAACTCCAACAACAACACCAACAACAACTGGTTAGACCAGCGCCAATTTAGACGGGCGAATACGGCGGCGGTGTTATGGAGTAGGTGGGCGATAGCAACGATAGAGATGTGGCAGAGCTATCGCTGCTGCTGCTGCTGCTCCTGCTCCTGCTGTTGCTCCTTCTGCTGCTGCTGCTGCTGCTGCTGCCAGCGACAGGAGCAACATCAGCCCTTGCTCGCACTGTGCACTATTGCTGGGCATCCTTGGCCACATCGTTGACAGCGGGCAGATTCACCTCCTTCATGGACTCCACTTTGGCGACGATTTTGAGCGCCGGCCCCAGCTTCATGCCCATCGCACTCACCAAGTGGCTCTCCTTGAGCAGCAGCAGCGCCTGCCCATCGATTTCCTGCTGCACAAAGTCATCCACGTAGTCCTGGCAGCCGGGCAGCTTGCGTATAAATTCGCTAACCTCATCCACGCTCCAGCTCGAGATCGGCGCAATGGCAATGGCAATGTTGTTGCTGTTGCTGCTGCTGCTGCTGCTGCTGGTGGGCGTGGCAGCCGCTGTTGCTGGCAGCGCTGTGACAGCGGCTGCGGCAATTGCCACCGTTGCCGTCGCCGGCAGCTCGGCTATGATCATGCCCGGGTCCGGGCTCAGCGCATCCGTTTGCATCTTCTCCTCGGCCAGCGATTCGTCCAGTTTGTCGGCCAGCGCCATTGCGTCGGCGCCAACCATGCCGATGCCGCTGCCATTGCTGTTGTTGTTGCTGTTCGAGTTGCTGTTGCTGCTCGCGTTGCTGTTGCTCGTTTTGGCCAGGCGCGCACAGCCCGGCGAGCAATACCGCTTGCGTTTCAGCTTGCTGCGATGCTCCGGCTTGCCGCACTGCTCACACGCCACCATGTCGGCGGGCAGGCCAGCCAATGGGCCGCCCACAGCAGCAGCGCCACCACCAGCAGCAACTGTTGCCTGTCCAGTGGTAGTTGTGGTTGTCGTTGTTGCAGCCGCTGTCGCTGTCCCCGCTGCTGCTGCACTCGACTTGAGATCCGTTTCYTGCAGCGCTGCTTTTTTCTCTACAAAAGAAAAGCAAAGATTTTCAAATTACAATTTGTTGACTTTGGAATTTGCTTCATTTTCTTTTTTGTTTTTTCTATTTTTTGTACTTACTGGGCGGCTCGTCCTTGTCATCCTTGTCCGCATAGCGCTGCCGGGTGACCGGAAAGGGCTCGTTCGCCTCCTGTATGATGAAGCCATCGATGACATGCGTCAAGACATTCGGCTTGATCATTGCCTTGGGCAGGTCTTTGCCATTGCTGTTGCTGCTGCTGTTGTTGCTGCTGCTGTTGCTCGTCGTTGTTGTTGTCGATGTGGTTGTTGTGCTGCTGCCGCTGCCGCTGCTCGCACGCAATCCGCTGCTGGCAATGCCATTGGTAGACGCTGTGCTGCTCACATTATTGCTGCTGTTGCTGCTCTTGTCCTCTTTGCTGCTGCTGCTGCTGCTGTTGCCGCTGCTGCTGCTGGGCAACACTGCATTGCTTTGCTTGACAACAGCAGCTGTTGCTGTTAGCTTGGTGGACTCGCTGGCATCGCCGTTGTGCAGCGCCTCAGCTGCTGCTGTTGTTGTTGTCGTTGTTGCCGTGGAGCTGCTCGAGTCGACGCTGGCTTTGTGCGCTTCGGCTGCTGTCAGCGACGATTCGATGGGCACCAATGTTGCCGTTGGCTGCTGCTGCTGCTGCTGCTGCTGCTGCTGCTTGGGCGTCGTCTCCTGGCTGCTGTTCATGCTTACGCTCTTGGTGGGCGTGGCTGGTTGTGATGTTATGCTGTTGCTATTGCTGAGCGTCACCAGCGCCGTGCTGACCGTCGGCGTTGCTGTTGTCGCTGGCAGACCAACTGTTGCATTCATCATGGATGTCATGGCCAGTATGGGATTCTGTGTGGGTGAGCTGGCGGTCAATGTGGTGCTAGTTAACTGCTGTTGCTGCTGCTGCTGTGCCTGCTGTTGCGCCTGTTGCTGCTGTTGCTGCTGCTGCTGCTGTTGCTGCTGCTGTGCCTGTTGCTGTGCCTGTTGCTGTGCCTGTTGCTGCGCCTGCTGCTGCGCCTGCTGCTGCGCCTGCTGCTGCGCCTGCTGCTGTGCCTGCTGCTGCTGCTGGTGCTGAGTAGCCGCCGCTAGGCTAGCCGTAATGAGTTGCTGCTGCTGCTGTTGGTGCTGTTGCTGCAATTGCTGCGCCTGCTGCTGCAGGCTGGCGACCGTGCTGCTGGTTACCAGCGGCCCAGTGCCCTGGTTGCTGATGGTGACGACGCTGCTGCTCGGCATTGAGTTGCTCGTCTTGGCAGTGGTTTGAAAGACTGTGCCCGCCGAGGCGGACAAAGCCGCCTGCAAGGCGCTCGAGGTGGCAATGCCCGCGGGTGTTGTCGTTGAGCTGACAGAGAACGGCACGCTGGTTAGCTGCAACTGTTGTTGCTGTGCTTGCTGCTGCTGCTGTTGCTGCTGCTGTTGCTGTTGCTGCTGCTGTTGGTGTTGCTGCTGCTGCTGCTGCTGTGTCGGCTGCGACTGTTGCACCACAATTTGCTGAATGATATTTTGTTGATGCTCGCGCTGCTGCTGCTGTTGCGCCTGTTGCTGCTGCTGCACCTGCTGCAATTGATGCTGCAGCAGTTGATTGTGCAACTGTTGCTGCTGCTGCTGTTGCTGCTGTGCCTGCTGCTGCTGCGAGGCAATAAACGTATTTGGCGCCACCTGCAATATTTGCTGCGCTGTGGCATTTGTCAACGTCTGTTGCTGCTGCGTTTGCTGCGTCTGCTGTTGCTGCTGCTGCTGTTGCTGCTGTTGCTGTTGCTGTGCCTGCTGCTGGTGTTGGGCCTGCTGCTGCTGTTGCTGTTGCAGCTGCAGCAGTTGGTGCTGCAACATCTGCTGCTGCAACAGCTGCTGATTCTTCATGATCTGCAACTGTTGCTGCTGGTGTTGCTGCTGCTGCTGCTTATCGACGCCGCCCGCCTGCAACGTCTGCCCATTCTGCAGTGTTATGGGCGTGCCCGTGCTCATGACCACCATCCTAAGGAGAGACAAAGATACAGATTAGCAATAGCTACACAAGCTGCACCACCTGTGCACCACTCACTTGTTGCCCGCCGTTGTCACCACCTGATGCAGATTGGCAGCGGCCGCTGCTGCTGCTGCTGCCGCCGCCTGCTGTTGCTGTTGCACGGCCAAGTGCTGGGTGAGCGCATTGCTGTTCACCTGTCCGGCCTGCGCCTTGTTGCCGCCAGCACCCACCTGGCCGTTCTCCGTCTTCAGGGTGGGCAGAGCGGGTCGCACCGGCTGCTGCTTGTTGCGCATCTTCGCCTTGAGCAAGCTCTGGTTCTGCGCCGTCTGCGTGGACACCGAACTGGCTGGCCGCACCTGTGCCCCATTGTGTGGCAAGATGGGCGCACCTGTCCGCTGCAGCTGCGCCGTCAACTGTTGCTGCTGCTGCAACACCGCCTGCTGCTGCGTGGCCAGTTGCTGTTGCGCCGCCTGCTGCTGCTGCTGTTGTTGCTGTTGTTGCTGCTGCTGCTGTTGTTGCTGGGCGTTTGCCTGTTGCTGCTGCTGCGTCTGTTGCTTGGGCGCCAGCGCGTCTAGCTGAGCGCGCGCCTTTGTCGGCGTCTGCGTCACATTGCACTGAATTATCTCTGCGAGAGCAGGACGGAGCGAGAGAGACGAGGAGAGAGATAGAGATAACATTAAATTAGTTTCTAGTTAGCTAAAGAAGATGGAATTGCTTTCTCTAGCTTGATACTCGCTCTGAACTAGTTCAACAGCTTATATACACTCAATAGAACTAGTTCAAAATTCCAGCTCAATAAGTTCATTCGTTCACATACGCTATCTATGCGTCTTCCGTGCCTACAGCTCACTTGTGCTTGTCAATGGAGTATGATCGATCAACCACAGATTGGAACTAGTTCCGACAACTAGTTCATAAGCTAAACTATTTTCTATATATCTCACGTCCATGGCTCACTTCTACTAATCAATGGAGTACGATTGATAAAACCACAGTTTATAACTAGTTCCAGATTCGCACTGAACTAGTTCATTTGTATGCATAGTCTCTATTTACACAGATGCCATGCCTACAGCTTACTTCTGCTGTTTAACGGAGCACATCTAGTCAATTTTGTTTTGGAACTAGTTCCAGCTCGCCATTAGTTCGTAAGCTAACGTATTTTCTATATATCTCACGTCTATGGCTCACTTCTACTAATCAATGGAGTACGATTTATAAAGGCACAATTTGGAACTAGTTCCAGATTCGCACTGAACCAGTTCATTTGTATGCATGCGTTCCATTTACACATATTCCATGCATAACTCCTACTTCTGCTATTTCATAGAGCACAGAGTAATCAATTATAGAGTGGAACTAGTTCCAGCTCGCTACTAGTTCATTAGCTGAAATATGTTCTATACTTTTTCCATGTCTATGGCTCACTTCTGCTACTCAATGGAGTACGATCAATCAACTTCAGATTGGAACTAGTTCCAAATGCTCACTTGTGGTACTTACGATTCTGTTGGGTCTGGAGCGCCTGATGCGTCGCCGGCTGCTGTATGAACATGCCCGACGTATGATCCGGCTGGCCGCGCAATATAATCGGATTCGCACCGAAATTGGGCCAGAACCACGGGCCGAGCTGCATCTGCTGCCCGGTGGCCGCGTTCTGCAGCGGACTGATGAGCTGCGCCGCCTGGGCAGCCGTCACGCCCGGCAGGGTTGACTGCGACACCTGGACACATTGCTGTGTGGTGGTCTGTTGCTGCTGTTGCTGCTGCGTCTGGGCATTGCCAGCGGCACCGCTGGCCGCCTGCACCGTGTTCGTTGTGGTGGTCACCTTCTGCACCACCTTCTGCTGCAGCTTGGCCTGGCCATCGGTGGTGAGGCCGACCTTCGAGGCGGTGACGGCGAGAGCGGCCTGCTGGGCGGCAGCAGCCGCAGTCAGCTGTTGCTGCTGCGTCAATTGCTGCTGCTGCTGTTGCTGTTGCTGCTGCTGTTGTTGCTGCTGCTGTTGTTGCTGCTGTTGCTGTTGCTGCTGCTGCTGTTGCTGCTGTGCCGCCGCCGCCTGCATCGAGTGCAGCAGACTCTGCTGCTGCGGCGAAATCACATTCACCGGCGATATCAGCAGCGTCTGCGGCGACTGGCTCGAGGGTATCGCATAGGTGCCGCCGGCGAAGCTCGCCTGCCCGCCGATCATCTGCTTGGCGTTCTGCGTGGTCGTCGTTATCATCTGCGGCCCGCTGCCCTGGAAGTGCTTGCTGGCGATCACCTGGATCGGCTGCTGGCCGAGCGTTGCCGGCAATAGGTTGCCGGAGACGATCATCTGCGGGTAGATGAAGCCCGTCGAGGGCTGCATCAGCTGCACTGTCCGGCCGTTGGCCCAATCGCCGGGCACGCCGCCGGTGGCAGCAGCCAGCTGCATTGGCGACATTGTGCTGATTGCTGCCGAGTGTTGTTGCTGCTGTTGTTGTTGCTGTTGCTGCTGTTGCTGTTGTTGTTGCTGCTGTACAACTTGTTGTTGTTGTTGTGCTGCCGCTGCTGCTGCTGCTGCCGCTGCCTGTTGCGCCGGACTGCCGGCAGCAGCAGCAGCAGCAGCGGCCGCCGCAGCAATCGATGCCGCTGCACTGCCATCGCCGGCCGCCGACAACTGTTGCAGCTGCAACTGTTGCAGCTGTGTCGTCTGACTGGCGTCCAATAGGCTTGCTGCATGCTTTAGATCGTTGCTATTGCCACTATTGTTGCCGCTGTTGTTGTTGTTGCCGCCGCCGCCGTTATTGCTGTTGCCGCCACCAACAACATTGTTGCTATTGCCGCTAGCATTGTGTGTGGGAAACTCCTGCTTAACCTGTATGGCCGTATACGGATAGAATTGCTGAAATTGCTCTGGTGAAATTTGCAGTGGCACCGCCGCAGCGGATGCCACCTGTTGGGCGGGGCTCTGTGATTTCTCCAGCGTGCCGCCAACAACTGCTGTTGCTGCTGCTGCTGCTGCTGCTGTCGCTGCTGATGTTGCTGCTGCTGCCGCTGCCGCTGCTGCTACACGCGATGTGGGCGTGCTGGAACGTGAACGCGAACGCGAAACGCTGCGTGAGCGCGCGTTGTTGTTGCTGTTGCTGTTGGGTGTTGTTGCCGCTGTGGGTGTTGTTGCTGCTGTCGGTGTTGTTGCTGTGCGTCGCGGTGTTTGCGCTGTATTTGAGGCGATTGATGTGGGCGTGCCGCTTTTGATGTGATTATTGTTGTTCAATTGTGTATTGTTGTTGTTGTTGTTGTTATTATTGTTGTTGTTATTGTTGTTATTGTTATTAGTGTTGTTATTATTGGTACTGCTGTTGTTGTTATTGTTGTTGTTGTTGTTATTGCCAATGCCTGGATGCGGCGGACTAGCAAAATCGTATTTCTCGTCAAATGTTATTCCAGCCTTTTGAGCCAAAGTCTCCAAACACTTTAACGGTCGTTCAATATGTTGCTGTTGCTGTTGTTGTTGCTGCTGCTGTTGCTTATGTTGCTGCTGTAACTGTTGTAGCTGTTGCGTTGCTGTTTGCAACTTGTCGCTGTTGCCGTTGTTGCTGCTGCTGCTTCTTATATTCGAATTGTCCTTTAGGGGTAGCGCAGTTGTTGTTGTTGTTGATGTTGTGGTCGTTGCTGTTGTTGCTGTTGCTGTTGATGCTGCGGCCGTTGTTAGAATTGTTGCTGCTGCCGATGTRTTTGTTGTTGTTGCTGTTGTTTCGCTTTCAGTGTCCGCTCTGCATTAACCAGAATGAGAAAGAGGGAGAGATGGCATAAAAATTAGTTCAAACAAATTTGTATACAATAAAATAAGCACAATGCACACACACACACACACACACTTGCAACGTTTGCGGCGACCGCGCTTGGCATGCAACATTTTCGCACAACAATATCAAACAAATAATAAATATGAGAAACAGCGCGGCTCAAGAGACGAGCGTAAAAGCAATGCAAATTGCACTCAAACTGCAAACAGGTTGGCAGCACCCGCCATTTGCATGCAGGCAGCAAACAAAAATAAATCAAATAAAATCAAATAACAAAAAGCAATACGAAAACAACAGCAAAAGCCAAAACCAAAGCGTGGGTGATAGATGCTCGCTTACGCGCGTCCTCTCCCACTCTCTCGCTCTGTCTCAATCACACACAAAAAGCTCGGCGTAGACTGAGCGAGCATTAAAGGCAAAGATCATTCATATAAATAAACTAATTAATATGAAAGATATTACTTGGCTCATGAATAACAAAAGATTAAAATTTTTGTCACTAACAATTATTAAATATTATATTTATTTTAATTATGAATTTATAAATGGTTTTAATAATTAATTATATATTATTTTTGTACTATATAACATTTTATACTAGTTTCCATTAAACTTCAGTTTTGATCTGCTCTGCCCAACTCCTTATTCACGTGTAGCTACATATCTGCAATCATTGACCCATATTACGGTAAATGTAGCTCACATAATGTCAGCGTACACATACAACTCTCTCTCACACACACCTACAAACGCGCGTTAGTTACTCAAAAGAGGTCATTTGTGATGCAAAAGTCTGCATATGCAAATACACATACACAAACACACGCATACACATAAGCCCCGGACAACATTGATATATAGATTATTATGATTTTATTTTGTTGCGCTCTTCCTCTATGGCCATCACTTGGTAACTGTAAACAAGCAGAGAATGACAAGAGTTGCCAGTGAATGAGCGATGCAATTGGACTGGATGCGTGGGAGAGACAAACAGGAGAGCAGGAGAGTAGAAGTGAAACAAAAACAACGAGAGACACGGAGAGAGTCAGTTGCACATGCAGTTACTGTTATGTGTGCCTCTTGCAGCCCAATACTATTTTAATGTTTTATGCATAGAATGCCGAATATTCAAAGTTCAAAAGTGCAAAAAGAATAAGTTTTGCATTTGGTTGTTGCTATGACTATGAAATACATACATACATACATACATATGTATGTATGTCAGCGTCGCAATCAGATAACATTAAGCTGCATCCCTGAAATTGACAATTGTGTATCATTTTTGTCAGTGCGAATGTGGCTAGGAAAATTTAGTACGATTAGTGTTGAGTTTCAAATTTAACGTCGCCGCAGCTTAGAGCCAAATATTTTTTCAGGCGTTGCCAAAGTCATAGTTCAAAGACCTACAGTAAAATCCTCACAATGTTTTAGTTTAAATAACACAAGGTAGCTACACCAAGATCCATTTCAGGCCAAGCCACTTCTAGTCTCCCAATCTAAGCTCCCCACAATGCCCGTGAGGCATATAAAAAATACATATGTATGTATATATGAAAGAAAAAAAAAAATACAACAGCAAAGGAGCCGGCACAGCATTAGTTAGGGTTACCCCCGGCAACAATACAACGACAGCAACAGCAGAAACGGGGTTGGAGCAGCAGTGGGCGGTTTTGGCAAACCATGAAATCGGCCAGGGGTGTTTGCAATGCAACGCATGTGGGAGGGTTGTTGTTGGTTTCCTTCTGGGGTACGCTAAGGTAGAACGCCCCCACAAGAAGCACCGCAAACAGCAAAGAGCAAGCGAAAGCTGGAGAACGAAACAAATAATAAGTAACGAAAAAAAAGGCCGACTAGACGCTGTGCCAGACATGACAGCATCCTTTTCAACGTCGCAAAAAAAAAAAAATATTTAAAAAACATACACACACACACACAAACTTGCAGCTTAAGACTGGTTTGATGCTTGCTTGCATATGTTTGTGCGTGCGAGTGAGTAATTTCTATGAGAGTGTAAGAAACAGTGAGAGCCTCTGAGTGTATGTGTCAGCTCAATATGAGTGGAACGGAGAAGCGTCGTTGCAATTGACAATCCAAGAACAATAATAATATTAATGCTGCACAGCCATCATCAATTTGATGTTCGCTTCGAACCAAATCAAGTTTCAGGAAGATTGATAACAAGCCGACAACGACAACAAAAACGAGCATGCGCTCAAAAGCAAAATATGAGAAAATAAAATAAAAAAAATTATAAAGATAAGTGTGAGTGAGAAGGTTAGAGCGAGATAGAAGAGGGAGAGCGCGCGCAGCTTGCATGTAGGCGAGAGAAGCAGAACATAAAATTCAAATTGTTGCGAGAAACATGCGTGCAAAATTACGTTTGGTGGTTGTTGGGGCATTAAACCTGTACACGATGTAGGTGGTGACGGGGATGCGACGAAAATAGTTGACTACATATTGATTATACGAACCGGTTTCATTTCTACATGCCAGACCACAGCCACCAACACCTTATTCACTCACACTTATACGATTGCGAATACAGATACAATAGAGCGCGAAGCATTGATGTCGCCCTTGTCGGAGTCGTTTACCAATGCTCAAAAGTGTGAGCGGGATGACAATATTTTCCTGCTCAAACTCAACACACACATTCACATTTCTGTGCCAAATGGATGAGAGCGCAAGCATGAGTCGGTGTGAGAGTAGAGTTGCCAGCAAGCACAACAAAAAGTTGCATACATTTTCATATATTTCAACGTATATTAAAACAAAAGTGAAAAGGCATGACATGCACATATTTATTTATAATTAATTAAATGTTACAAGGAAACAATACAAAATTGAAACTACTGGTGGTACACGAAAAAATCATATAAAATGGATCCTATATTTATATGTATTAAGTCAGTAATGAAATATTTTTGAACAGATGGCAACACTAACCACGCGTCTCAAATTTTGTTTACTTCCAACTATGGGCGCCCACGCGCACGCAAGCGAGAGAGCGAATGCACTCCACTAACTGTTGTTGCTGCTGCGGTTTTATTTTAGTTTCTTCTTGTTCTTTGGCGCGGTGTTCCCGCTGCTTATAATGCCGCCTGCAGTTGTTGTTTGGCTTAGAACTTTTGCTTTTCAAACTGCGAAAAGTAAAAGAAAAATCAACCACCAACAATTTTACAAGCACACACACTCACGCATCGCATGCATTGCGAAATTCGCTGCGTGTGTGTGTGTGTGTGCGAATGCATGAGTTTGACTGCAGCGTTTTATAAACACGGCATGAGCTGAGCAGATGAAGCAACAAAAAAAAACTCGTTTGGGACTTGTGATTTTTGCTTGCTTTAGTTGAAGCAGAAGAGAGTTTTAAGTACAACTTCGATTATGATGGGACGTCAAACAGAAACTGCACACAGATACACACACACACACGGCAGGCATACACTAGCACTCGCATATGCATGTAATGGTCTTGTACACATTTGTTGTTATTACTAACAGTGTTGAAAAACGCCGCGCTGTTAAGCTGCGCGCCAAACACGGTACACTGCAATTCACAACATTTTAAGAAAAAAACAAAAAAATAAATCTTATGTGAATATTTATATAGATAAATATACGTATAAAGCACTATATAAAATAAAATAGACATAGAAGCAAGTGTATACACACAGCATAGAATATTTTTTTATTTTGCGCTGTGAGGGTCACACTCGAAGCTAACCTGAGACGCGGCGCGATGTAATAATAACAAATACAAGTAAAAGCAACGCAAGAGCAAAAGAGAGAGGGCAAAGGCAAGAAATTCGTGTATGTAAGTGCGTGTGCAAAAAAAAAAAAAAAAAAAAACGAAATAACATTAGTAATAAGCAATAATAACACGAGTGCATTGACACACATATACATATATGTATGGACATGTGCATGTGTGAGTGAGTGAGTTTTTGTGTGTGTATGTGTAGTGTTTGCTAGCAAATGGTAATATTGTATCTAAAAACTAAAATTAAAAGCGAAACAAAACAAAAACAAAAAAAATCAAGAAACACAAAATACCTTTTTTGCATAAACTTCAATGCACGACGATCCATTATTCAAAATAAAAACAATTTGTATAATAAATTAATAGTATGCATGCGGCGACGTCAGCGGCGACGGCGCTGCAGCAGCGACGACAGCGATGTTCTGTTGTTATTTGCTGTTACTGTGACGGCGACTGCGACTGCGAGTGCTGCTGCTGCGGCTGCTGATGCTGCTGCTATTGTGCTGCTGCTGTTGCGACTGCTGATTGTTTTTATTGTTGTTGGCAGCATATTGCTGCTTCTACTGCGTTTGTGTAATTTTCTTTTATGTTGTTGCTGTTTTTAATTTGCTGTCGGTAACAAATATATGAGATAAACACATACACACACAAACGTATATAAATATATATACACACATATACGAGGAGTACAGGCAATAAACATATATACATATAAAACAGGCAAAAAAAACGTAAAACTTTGTTGCAAGGCAAGCGCAACAACAACAACAACAAGAAAACATACAAAAATGTACACAAAAAAATGTCTCGCAGAGCGTCAGCCTTAGTCGGTGTATCTGTGTTTATACATATGTGAGTGTGTGTATATATGTTGGTAGTCCGTTCGTGGCTGTCTGTGTGTGCGTGTATATGTGTGTGTATGTACGCTGTCTGAGACTTCGACTTCGACTGCGACTGCGACTGAGGCGTGTAAATGAACGTTTCGTGCACGAGAGCAATAATTAGTACGTACGTCCACTCGCTGCAGCGGCTGCGTCGACGTCAACGTTGACGTTGGCTCAGAATTAATGCAATGCCTGGCTTTATTTCACAGTTTATTCATTTTTGTTTTCTTTTTTATATGTATTATGCTGCATAGTCCAAGCACCTGTACACGTGATGTGCGTGGGCGCCCGTGCAGGGTGTATGGGGTAAGGGGGGTATTAGGCTTTAACTATTGTTGTGTGTCTCAGCTTACATAAAACGCGGCGGCGGCGACAACTCTAGCAACATATTTTTTGTTAGGCGGCACACAATTTCACTGCTCGCTTTGGCAGCGGCTGCGACTGCGACTGCGACGCCGGCAGCATAACTTTTCACTTTGCAGCATGTATCTTGTATCCTTGTGGAATTTGTATAACTTGAACTTGCAACACTAAAAAAATATTGTAAAAAATCCAGTTGTTAATTTGTGGATTTAGTTAGTCTTGATGCATACATGAGCGTTTGCATATACGGCATGCATGTATGAGTGAGTATCTGTGTGTACGAAGCGCGACGCGTTGTATCTTTTAGCTCGACTAGCGGTTTGGACAGATCGGCGCGAGCGAGCAAACAAAACACAGACCGTGCGCTTCCAAGTTGTATTTTAGACTGAAACGCGCGCAGACGGCGGCAACTCTGCCGAAACAAAATGAAGCAGCAGCGCGCATGTGTATTGGTGACTGTGTGTGTTAGCCTTAGCAGGGTTGGCAGGCAGCTGGGTGAGGAAAACGAGTTTAACCACACATACACACGCACAGATAACACGTACAGCGAAATATTTCTCTATAACAAATGCGGGTGTGTGAGTGCGATGCCAATAGCGAAGCATATGCCTCAGCCATTGGGTGCGAGTGCGACTGCAATAGCGCCACGACTCGCTGTTTGCAGCGTTTTGTTGTGTGCGCTTTGGGGGTGTGTGCGAACGAAAGAAAAAATGTACGTGAACAAAAAAGAAGAAAAAAAAACGAGGCTACACAGCTGGCGGGCATGTGTATTGTATTTGCTTTTGCTTTCGCGCCCGTTGTGGCGCATTCATCAATCCACATGTATGTATGTATGTATGCATGTGTGTATCTAAGAGTGTGCGTCTCTGCATGTATGTGTGCGTCGCGCTGTCATCCACCCTGCCCGCTACTTTTGGCACTGCCGCCCTTGTCGACGAGCGAGAGACCAGTTTTCTGTGTCTCTATACTCGAATGTCGTTTCTCGCTGTGGTTGTTGTTGCTGTCGCTGTTGTTGTTGCTGATACTGCTGCTGGCTTGCTTGCTATACTTCATCTTCTTTTTTCGATTTCGCGTTTGCCACCACCACACCTTCGCATACGCCTATACAGACACACAAACATACATACGCATACATATTGATATACATACATACATATAAATATACATATACACATACCTGAGCGGACTAGCAAACGACAGAGGCTTTATTTTATTATTAGTTTTGCTTGTCGACCTCACCCGGGACCGTGGGTCGCATCGGGAAATGGTGGGGGGTGCCACGACTGTAGCGCAAAGAGGCAATCGTTCGCTTTTGCTTGCTCTCACTCGTTCGTACAGTGGCCCGAGCTTCATTATTTTGATTTGAATTGCATTTTCTTTCCGTTTCATTTCATGTTGTTGTTGTTGTTGCTGGTGGTGGTGCTGCTGCTTTTGTTACTAATATTGCCGAATCGACATTTTCATTTGTAATGCTATGCGCTTCGCGTGTATATGGCTGTGACTGATGACACCCGGTGATTTTGCACACACGTTTGCAGATTTTTTGTTGGGACAGTTACTATTGCTGCTATGATATACATATGGCGTTGGCACAGTGTACAACTGCTATTAACGCATTGACGAATATTCTGGGTTATATATGTAAAACGTATACATATATTATTTTAAAGACTTGTAACTTTAATATATTACGTCATATATTTAAATAACATATCTTATATTTTATTTATT